TCTCTCGTAAGACACTTATCCAAATGGAACGGAACTCAAATATATATCGAAAGTACTAATTTAATAATAAATAGACACACACATCGGAAAATTAAAAACTCGGATTTTTTGGCGCCGATTGCGAATTCCCATACACAAAAAGTAGTAGTCCACCTTGACTTACCGAAGTATCTACCAATAGTACCAAAATCCGGAATCCGGGAGAAACCGGAATCCGGATCCGGCGGATTTCGCATAAGAAAATCCGGATCCGGATCCGGTTGGAAAAAACGGATCCGGCACACCCCTATTAACCATATTTCTTATCTAAATTTAATATTTTAACTATACTTCCAATCTATATTTAATATTCTAATCACACCTCGAATATAAACTTATTATTCAAGTTCATTAAGTAAACATTCTGTTTTAAACATGACATGACAGATACTTAAGATGAGCTCAGTCAGGGTGAATTCTTTCCCTCAAAGTTAACACTGAAAGTTATGCACTTATTTGTTCAACAGTCTGTTAGAATTTAACAGAGTGCTCCTCTGGCTTTAACAAAATCAAACAATCACTCTTAATTAAAGTTAATATTGTCACTAATAAAAAAAACTATTCAATGACAAAATAAAAATAATTACAACAATATTAATGCGCTTATCTTATACATAAATAGTTATAACTTTAAGCATGTACTCGGCACTTACACATGTTTTAAACAACTACCAAACCAGCATTGGAATTAATGAGGAATAGGAAGATAATGACTGTATTGGTTGTGAGACAATATGAGTTTATATTGGTTGTGAGACAGAGTTTAGAGACAATATGAGTTTATATTGATTGTGAGACAGAGTTTAATCTATAATTCTGAATGTAAGATGGTGCCTATACTTAATGGTATGTGTATTTTTTTTACTTGTTTACTTAATTTTCTAAGTGTCGTTTTTTGAAAATGTCCTACCTCTGTTTTAAGACCCCCCACCAAATAACGCACTCGTTTCAATGGCAATTTAAAGGTCGCAAAACTGAATTTTTACTGTAATAGCAAGATGGTATCCTCTATATTTCTGTAGGTAATGTCTTCACGTATGTAATAATACCAATAATCATAATTTTCATATGAATTAATCTTTAGAATGCTGTTAAACTTAGTATTATAGTTGTAGTTTTATTGTTTTTTTGTTTTTTTTGTTTGATTGTAGGCACAATTTTTAAAAAACCTACTTCAATTGGTCATCTTTGTCATGGTAAAGTTTTAAGTCCAGTTTTGACATCTTCATATGAAGTTTTCAATTTCTAGCTTGGTCATCTGCATGTGATATTTTCAAAGTCCAGTTCTCACATCTTCATGTGAATTTTACAATGTCCATCTTGGTCATCTGCATGTGAAGTTTTCAATGTTTGGTTCTGACATCTTCATGTAAAATTTGTAAAGTCCAGTTTGGTCATCTCCATGGCTTTCATTAATACATTCAACCAACCAAATTTGAGAGGAGACTCATCTGGAGGAATACAATTTTAAACATAATTTACACTTCTATTCTAAACTTAATATTTTAACCATTAGGGGTGTGCCGGACCCCGGTCCGGAATCCGGTTCCGCCGAATTTTGCACTATCCGGTGAAATCCGGTTCCGCCGGATTTACATGTATCCGGAACAACCGGATTCCGGAATCCGGAATATACCGGATTTCGGAATTTGCCAGATTTTGTGACTCACCGGATCATAATCTGAAATAAAAGTAATTCTCTTTCCCGAATTTCACACGATCACGATACATTAATCGATTGTTTCGAGCGTTGAGCTTGTTTAATTGGGGGGTCAAGTCAGGTTTTTTGGGGGGGGGGGGGGGGACAAAAACTAATCTTAGTCGGCTTGCTAAGTTGCTTGTTAATGGTGGCGCCACAATGCAAAGCAATTTAAATAAATCCTGCAAATTTGGGGGGGGGGGAACTTTTAAGTCAACCTTTTCACCTGAGTTCAACAGTCGCGCATGACGCTCGCTGCGTGACATCGTTTTTCTCCACTCAGTACTATTAATATAAAACATGTTGAGTAGGGGGAAGGGCGGTCGTGAAAAGGAAGCAGACACACCAGAAACAAAATATATATAAGAGATACTTTTTTTAGGCAACAGCATGCAATGTAGAGTCACAGCTGAATTCACTGTGGTTTTTTGAGAAGTCCTCTTCTCGTGAAAACGATTCAACACAAATCTACGAAGGAAAGGTTGTGGAGCACAAGATAACAATATCACAGTCTGGGTTGACTGAGCTAAAGACCAAAGCCAAATGGGAACCTGTAATTGAGGTGTGCAATATATTTATATCAGCCCTTTTAGGGCCTTTGAAAATTATTTTGCATTGAATATTTCATAATCAGCTTTTGATTATTTCTTACATTCTATTTATTTTTATATTTTTAAACTATAGACGATTGAATCTGTTATGTTTTATTTATTGGTGCATCTACATTATTGTCCTTCTCTTTCAAACAAATAAAGGATCAATTTTATAAATATATATATATATATATATATATATATATATATATATACACAGAGAAACACGATATGTATAGGGATGTAAGAAGAGACAAAACAAAAAAAAGATCATTATGGCTTATTGCCTTCTTCAACAGACAATACAAAACAAAAAAAAAAATATTATTATTGTCCTTCTCTTTAAAAAAAATAAAAGATAAATTTTATAAATATATATATATATATATATATATATATATACACAGAGAAACACGATATGTTTAGGGTTGTAAGAAGAGACAAAACAATAAAAAGGTCATTATGGCTAATTGCCTTCTTCAGCAGACAATACAAAACAAGAAAAAAAATATTTGAAATTGAAAAACTTTAGTTTCCCAGATCAAAATAGTAACTAGTAAGATCTCTCTATTGTATACTAACCTTATGTGGATTTATTATAAGATAATATTAATTCAGGACCATTTCCTTGGATTTATTGTTTTTCACACCTGTTATCGCTTCTCAGGAGATGGGCGCAAAAGGCTGGGAGTTGGCCTGCATATTGGAGACTCCAGAGGTGGAGATCGTAGGACTGACAAAAATAACCATGAAAGTGATGCTTTTTTTCCAGAGGAAGATTAGTTCATAAACCATTACAATTAAAGATCTTCCTAGACTTGTTTTAATGTTAATTTTAAAAAGCATATACTAATATTTTTACAATATTTTTTATATGGTAAATAATGCAATTGTAAAAAAAATGTACAGCACTTAAACTTCAGTAAACTGATATTTAACTTATCCTCAATTACCTCCGTTGACTACAATAGTTTCAATTTCGTTTTGTTAGTCTAGTCTGTTTTGTGACGTATGTTTTATTCGTCTGGGCGTCCTAAACGGTACTTTGCGAAAGAAGATTGTGTTTTATTTTCGGTCTGATAGCGAGCTGCGCTATATGCATGTGTTTACGGAATTTACAGCATGTCTATATAATTAGATATTAAAGTTACATTTATTGTGATAATGGACGTGAGTTGATTCAGCACTAGTGCGACGTATTACATCGTGTGAAAGAACCTGATGAATTAACCAATCTAGTAGAAACAGGAGTTGACACATGGTGTCAACCCACACCCCTCCAATTTTTCTTTTTGCAATTCCCTCCCTCCAAAAAGACCCCAGTGATCAGTGCCACCTTAAGGCATCGGCCCAGTGGGCACTTGCCCAGGGCCCCGGGCTTGTAGGGGGCCCCCCGTTTCTAGGAGGCTCACTCTTATAGAGGTATAATGCTTTACATATTTTTAATGAATATTGAACGATTTTGACAATTTTATTGGATTTAAAATTCCATATTTCCCAATTTTAACCCACGATATATTTTATCAGCACATTCCAAAATTAATATTATAAATGCGAATCAAAGTTGGACAGTTTTAAAACTTTTAAAGGGGAATAACTCTCGTCGACAAGTTTTACTTTTCGCCAGATATGAATCGAAAAAGAAAAAAAAAATTAAGGTAAGAATCGGCTTCGCAAAGTACAATGGGGCAAAATCTTTTGAAATGGCTTTCGGCTGGCATTCACTTACGTGCATGAAAAATGACGTCCTTAAGACCATTGACTTTAAACCAGTAATAAAACAATTCTCTGCAAAAAAATTACGAAAACGATTGTGTTGATATAATAATATATATTAATTAATATGATTAAATCATTTATTCTTTCTGTCAATATCAATAATGAAAATTTATCATCCTCTAACTCTGTGATTATTTATGGTTTGTCTCTGATAATGTTTTAAAACTGTTATTGATTTTGAACGATTTTTTTTAAAATCAATAAATTGAATTCATCGAAGTTTAGCTGAATTGAATGTTTATTATTTTTCTTTTACATTTTTATTCCTCTTGGTGAGAAGCAGGAACTGTTTACACCCCCCTCTTTTCCACTGTTTGGGCATAGGGCAAGTGCCCCCTTCGTCCCCTTATCACGGCCCAGGTATGTTGTGTTTCTAGGGGGCCCCAATGCATTGCTTTGCCCAGGGTCTCCTATGTTGTTAAGATTAAGACGGCCCTGCCAGTGACCTGCACCATGTGACTCTTAACCAGTTCGTACAGAATCGTTTATATTATTGTTTGTAAATTAAGTTTAAGTCCTAAATATTAAAAAAAAAAAAAAAAAAAAAAAAAAAAAAAAAAAAAAAAAAAAAAAAAAAAAAAAAAAAAAAAAAAAAAACAAAAAAAAAAAAAAAAAAAAAAATTAAAATGCAATTAAAAATTGCATCAAGATTACATTCTATTGAAACATTTATCTTTTGGGTTAAACTTTCCTTTCCTTGTCTTCAAGATGCTAACCTGTCAATTAATACACTAGCAGCATGCACTAACAAAATCGCAAGACCATACATAATGGGCTGTTTCATATTGAATCGTGGGTGATTATACTTTGAGATGGGTCATAGGCTTTTGGAAATTTGTTTCATAAAATATAAAAATATTATTTTATGCTTGGTATCAGTGGTATATTTTGTGTCTAAATTTTTCACTTGAGATAGGTTAAATTATGAAAACTTGGGATAGGTTAAAATATGAAAGCTTGGGATAGGTTAGATTATGACAACTTGGGATATGTTAAATTATGAAAACTTATGATAGGTTAAATAATGACAACTTAGAATAGGTTAAATTATGACAACTTAGGATAGGTTAAAGTATAACAGCGTAGGTTAGGTTAAAAATGAAAACTTAGTATCGGTTAAATTGTTACAACTGGAAAAAAAGGGGGGGGGGCGTTACACAAAGGATTATTTTTCCACTTGCTATTCTCCTACCTTCACATCCTCCCTCCCTCTTATAGGTAATTTGGTATGTGTATTGTGAGACATCATGCCCCCAAGTACGACGCACATTAATGACAAAAAATAATACTTTAATTATTTTATTTTTGTGTCATTAAAAAAAATAAAATATTATTATTATTATTTTTAATGACAAAATTAGATTCTTATTTAGCCAACAGGTAAATGCACGGACAGGTATTTTAATGACCAAAGCGAAATGCATTGACGTCAAAATGAAAACGTCACACTGTGGTCAGTTACAAATCAAAAACGCCCGATACTTAAAATTTAAGACATTACAGCAGAGGGGTAGCTAGGGGGCAGGGGGATGATGTCCCTGGGCGCCAGACTAGTTAGGGCGCCAAAATGTGCTTTGATATTATTTTATTGATAAAAATGATGTGTTTGCGAGTTGAAAAAAGAAAGGGGGGCTCTTTAAAATGAATCTTGTCCCCGGGCGGCAAAAACTCTCTCTCTCTCTCTCTCTCTCTTTCTCTCTCTCTCTCACTCTCTCTCTCTCTCTCTCTCTCACTCTCTTTCTCTCTCTCTCTCCTAAACTAAACGCCGCTAAATCATGACCCGCTTATAAGAGCTTCACTAGCTTATGGAAAAAACGTACTAAATGTTATGGCTGCAAACTGCTTTTCTGGCATTTGTTTCTAGTTGCTTCTGTCTGTTTTTGCACTCTTGTTTGGTGGTACAATGACCTTGTATTTAACTTAGATATTGCAATTTCATTTATAATTTCTGATCATCCTCCTAAATGGGATGGGCAATTTTAAAATAATCTTTTGCAACTTCTTTCAAACTTGTCTAAATATTTCTCACATGCAAACATCCATTAAGCTCATTTCCTATCACTGAAGCATTTTGCCTTGAGGCTATTTTGGAAAGCTGCAGTTCTATTTAAATAAATGTATTCATTTTATGTAATAATAATATCGATTTAAATTTTAAAAAACAACAAAAAAAAACAAAGCAAAATCTAGAAATTCCTCATGAATTCTAGTTGGCCTTTCTTCGGTACTGAATCGCAGAAGTTTATTGCTGAGAAATGTGACAAGTTTCATGTGAGACTCCATCACGTTCATCGCATTTCCTGGGATAGGGTCATCCCATGCTTGCTGCAATCTTGTCACTTTTTATAAATCTGTGGTGAAAACTGCTAAACGCTTTATCAAAAACTTGATCATTACCATCGGCATGACATTTTTTGAATATTGGATCAAACAATGGATCGCCATCAGAAAAATTCTCCATGAACAACTTTTCGTTTTCTTGAACGCATAGTTTCAAGTTCCAAAACCATTTTGTTCATTATCTAAGTAAACATTTGCTCATTCGGTGACATTTACTTAAAACGTCGCAGTTCTTTTGAATTAATCAGTTTTCTTTTCATTTAAATCAAGTCCCATTGTTTAAAATTATTTTGAAATACAACTTGCATGTTGAAAAATTCTCAAATAATAATTTATTTCAATAGTAATTTGGTTTTAAAAAATATTCCGTTGAAAATGTATTTGAGCTCACCAATTTGTCTGCAGCAATAATACTTCTTTATAGCAGAAGCATTGCATGACTTTTGTAGCCACTCTGGCGCTGTTCTGTTTTGTGATAGTTGATAGTTTCACTCCCCCCCCCCCACCCACACACACATGACAACTCTGGGCCCTGAAAGATCATGTGAGACCCAGCTCCTCGAATGTGTAGAAGACTTGACGATTAATCTAGAGAAAAACAAGTAAACTGACGTGCTGGTGATGGACTTCTCAAAGGCATTTGACTGTCTAAAGCAAGGTTTGCTATTACACAAACTTAGGATCCAAGGCACTACCAAAACATGGATCTCTATCTTCCTCGGAAACCGATGCCAGGCAGTAGTGATAGACGGCAAAAGCTCCTTCTTTGTCAGTGTTAAGTCAGCCCCCCCCCCCCCGGGCTCGGTGCTAGGCCCCAGTTTGTCCCTAGCATACATCAAAGACCTGCTCCAGGCAGTAGTGATAGACGGCAAAAGCTCCTTCTTTGTCAGTGTTAAGTCAGCCCCCCCCCCCCGGGCTCGGTGCTAGGCCCCAGTTTGTCCCTAGCATACATCAAAGACCTGCCCGAGAAGCTGACCTCGCATGCAATATTTTTCAGACAACACGGCGTGTACAGGACGATCGGCAACAGTTATGACCAGGAACAGTTACAACAGGACCTCCATCGGTTAGCCGAGTGGGAGATCAGCTGAGACGTGGAATTTCATCCTGCCAAGTGCCAGACCCTGTCAGTCTCCAGAAGTAGAAACCCTCGACACCACGAACTGCATGGCCATATGCTTGGGCCAGTTTCCTCCATAATGTACCTCCTCGGTCTCACATTGTCTATTGACTCGGAAGCCATGCTGAAAGTCATTAAGTATATTGTGACTTTTAAGATGTTTCATGACTGGGCTTACGATTATATTGTGCTCCAACAGTTTGCATACCTTGCTGGTGAGAAATACCAGGCAGTGGTTGGCAGGGTCGTAATGCTCCTCTTTACTGTAGATTGGAGTGACATGCGCTGTTGTCCAGTCTGTTGGAACATTGCCTGTGCACAGCGACGATTCTCACATCAATTCAATATTTTGGTTCTAGCTTAAGAAAAAAAATTCTTTTGATAAGTTATCAATTTGAAATAAATCCATTCATTATTTTCTTGGGGGGTTGGGGGTGGAGTAAATCCAAGAGTCTTACAAACGCCAACAAACGTTATTTCTTTAGTAATTTGAATGAAAAGTTTAAGTTGTTTCAAAATTCAACAAAAACAAAAAAAAAAAAAAGACTTTT